TGTGGTGGCAGGTACACTAATTAGCCAAAAATAAAATTTATTTTTATTTGAAATCACAATTATTGGTGGGCAGTGGGTTTTCTAAACAGGGTATAAAAATTCTTGCCCTAGGGGTAATGTTCCTGCTTCCTATGCTAAAGACCCCGCTTGAAATCCAGCAACGTCAGATTTCAATTTGAGTCGATCGCTTGACTCCTTCAATAAACCTATCATAAGAGTTAGGTGAGACAGAGGATACTGTACTGGTAGTACTGGTGCTGCAGATCACCAGAGGCCAATTTCAGAATAATGACAATAATGACAAAAATCAAATCAAAATAAAAATTTAAAAATCAAAATAAAAAATGATTAAATTTGGGTAAGTTGAATCAGCCTACTCGGTATCAGCTATACAAGTAGATCAATGGCTAATGCCTATATGCTCTCGGGGTTGGTTGGGGAAAGCAAAGTTGAAAATGTAGTAATTTATGGGCTACAGACACATACAGTAAGTAGGAATAGACCTTACTTGTTGATTCTTCTAGCCTATGGTGGTCTTTCTGAAGCTTAGGGAGTGCTGTAAGCCTACTCTACTGTACAAGTGGTGTTTTATGCTTTTTGGATGTGAACAGTTTGAAACCGATTTTGGAGTTATTTTATGGCTTAAGAAATGATGGAGTTTGCAGAACCAACTTTTAATTTAATAATTTGTTTAAATATTTTCTGGTGCTCAATTAATTAAATCTATGATTATGATGATATGGTGATTTTAAATCCACATGCTGCTAATTCTTTCTTTTCATCCCATTCCCTAACAAAGGGGGCCTAGTAACAATACAATTACTATAAAGTGTTGGTTTGTTTGTGGAAGCTAAACAGTTTTTGTTCTGTTCCATCAACTCACCTTTTATACTTTGCGATAAAAAATTAAAATGAAAAATGTAGTATAGTGAGTTGTCGTCTTGAAACAAAAGGGCTAGCAAAAAGGCTGTTAGCAAAGCCATTAATGTTACTACCACTGAGATCAGGAAAGCCTGCAAGCGTTTTATTTTTTATCCCCTACTTTGACTGGTTGGCTAGGCAATTTCTTAGCCATGAGGTTTTTGAATTACTTGTTTTAACACCTTTCTGAATTTCTAACCCACTTATATTTACGAAGCATAATGTATGGATGGCTATTTGTTTCATAGAGAAGACATCACTGGTGGGTGGGTGGTGCTGGGGGGCACTTCATGTAAGGCTCAGCAACGATGCTTATCTACTGATAAGTTTATGCAGGAGAACCAGAAGATAACATCTGGTAAACTGAAGAAATTGAACTTTAACAATCTGCACAACTACACATACACAATATATGATTGTCTGGTCGTATTTATTTCCTATTTAACATGGTCCTACTCTAAACCCCAAAAAGTTTAAATGAAAAATAAAGAAATTGCCCTTTGTCATTCAACTTTTAGTCTTCATATATAGTAGGGTCTGTAGTCTCATTATTTAGGTTAATTTGTGCGAGTTCAAAGTTTTACTTTGTGTTACTGTAGTGTCAGTCTGTTACCATACCACTTATCTACCCGTACAGACATGATGACATTTGGCTGAGTAATTCAGAAGGTATTTCTACTTAGAAGTGGCTCCAAACCCCAAAATTGCTGTTTTTTGCAGAGGCGGCAATCTTTAACTCATTATTGAAAAAAAAAAAACACACATTGTAGAGAACTAATGTGGGAACATATTGAATTAAAAAATACACATAAGTTCTCTTAAAAATTAAACCCCTAAGGTGGAAATAAAAATCCCTTTGACATTTTTTAGCCTTTTTTACCTTTGACCTGAATTCATCTTTAGTCAGCAATCTGCCTCTAAGTTAGTACAAAGTAATACATTGTTGTCAAAACCAACCCTTTTGATCTGTCTTTTGTTAAGTTATGAATGTCTAGAAAATGTTGAACAACCACATTGTAACTTGTTTTGCTTTGATAAGTTCATCTTTCGTAAAAAGGATCTGTATGCCCCTGATCAATACCCCTGATTTTTTGAGAGACTCCAGTGAAGATTAAGGGCTTATCCCCATTGCCAGATAATAGTATTTCTAGCTATAACTCCGTTAAAGATTGACAAATTCGATGATTGCTAACCTGTAGGTCTCAAAAGCCTGAAAAGTAAAGAGATTACAATCTTATATAGGATACTCTTTTATTTCCCCTTACAAATGTTCATCTCAGAATTGGTCTATTCAGCTGGTTTAATTTGTGTTAATAAAGGAATTGTAAAAATAAAAAGCTCTTTGAAGACTAAACCCAGGTATTTGACAACAGCAAGGATTTAATGTTAGAAATCTGACTTGATTGCGGCATATAATACCTTAAGTTGCATTGTTTAGTAAAGCAAATCCATCTTTATAGCTAAGCTTGTTTAGCAACAAACTTTGTAATCATTACCACTAAATTCTTTATCTTCTTATGGTACCTATTAAAAGGTGAATAGTGGAGAATAACTGTCTTTAGATTACTGTATAGCCAACCTTGTTTAGCAGGAAAATCTTAATACTTCATTAATTCGGATTTGTTGAATCTATGTGAATTGTAGAGAATAACTGTAAGTGAACTAGTTTTTATTAATGGAAGGATTTGTTAACAAGCTTCAGGACATCTAGTTAATGTTCAGTATTTTCTTTTGATAGTCAAATAATTTTTGGTAGCCACTTTCTAACTTTGTGTCCCTGAATTTCAATGTGCAACAAAAAGTCTTTAAAATACAAACAAATTTTCAGATGATATTTTCATGAATATTATTTTATGAATGTTTTTAAGTTAATTAAAAGGCTTTGGATTTAATTATTAAAAAGATGTTTAGGGCAAAAATCAAAAGCTGCTAACACTGCGCTTGACAGAATAGAACAAAAAAGTTACCTACTGGCCCCAAAATAATTTTTTTTTTAAATAAACCAAGTTTGTGATTATGCTCTATGTTTGTGTGGAAGGACTGCAGCATTGTTAAGAAGTGGGTGAGGTTTTGCCAAATTGTTTGTTGAGGTTGTTGGCAGCCTATTTGATAATGTTAGCATTTAATAGTGTACAGTACTTTCATTTTGCAGTAGGCCTATTACCGTCATTTGTATTTTTTTTTTTATAAGGAAGTGCAGCTGTTAACATCTGTCCCCCTCTTTGCACACCCTATCCTTGAAAAATCCACACAAAATCATCTTGATTTTACATATTAATTATCAGGGTTTAAGTTGGCATGCCACTGGTATAGGTACGGTAAGCAAAAAACAGCAATAAATGAAAAAAGGTACTTGAAAGTCTCATTATTAGGACTCATTTCACAAACATCAAAACCAAATCATTCATATTTTTAATCTGAAATCATAACTCATCCCTGCAATCTTCTTGATTTCTTTGTTAATACTTTTTCCATCTCATTATAATTTATGGTTTTTTGTTCACCTGCTGTACATATTTCTACTAATCTTTCTAAGATACTATCTGTATTTATACTGTGTGACAATAAAGCTTTGTTGACATAGTCTATCAATCATGTTGTAAGGAATAATGTACTGTTCAATTGAAGCTGTTATAAGGATAATCAATCCAGCTATTCTGATGTGATTGATTAGTCACATTTAATTTCAAACTATTTGATAAAAATCATACGATAAAAATCTACACTAGAAGTACAAGAGCACTTGTCAGAAGACCCTTAATTTTACTATAAAGATCCTTAATTTGTAGAGTCTCAACACTACTTTTTAAACAAGACACAAAATAGTATATCTTGCCAATCAGATATGCTGGCACATTCAAAAGTTAGACTTTTTTCTTTTCTGATTCTTTGAAGTTGTTATGTTTTTCTCTGAAATGCTTTACCAGCATAATTGCTTTTCTAACTGTGTAAATTAACACATCAAATTTAAATACTGGTATAAAGATCAGTATTAGCTTCTAACAAAGTTTTTAACCCATTGCTAGACTGCTTTCTGTCTCTAAATCGGCAATGTAAACAGGAATCAATGTATGATGTAGTTGTTTACAGGCATGTTAAAAAATCCTAAATTAAGTTGTAGCAAGACCCTCACAGTAGTCCAAGGCAACTTGGTTGTTGGCCTATACACTTAAAGAGGGCAGCAGAACGTTTTTGATTAAAATCGCGAGGTGAGCAATTTTGTCATTCTTTTATCTGCTGTGTTCACCAATCATTCCACAGCCAATTAAATAAAATATTGCTTAATTAGTCAACTCTACATAAAAGATACAAGATTCTTTTAAGTGTCATTTTATAGCGAAATTTCTTTTGAAGTGACTAATACTAAAATAAAGGTTAAACTTTTATGAAACATCATAAATATGTGGTACAGGTAGCTAAAATATTGGGTTTTTTTTAGTTAAAATTTTTATTTAGTTTTTTAAAATGGGCATGAAATGAATTTCAGAATTCATAGATATTTACCAAGTTTGTTTGAAGATATAAATCGAATATTTTTGTGTTGTTTGCACCTTTTCCAGTGCCATGCTTGCTTTAAATTTATTTGATTTTAAATGAAAGATATACGTACCAGTAATATTTTTATCAAACTGTTAACTATTGTTTAAAATCAGAATTAGGATTGTCATTGTGATGTAAATGATACATATTTCTATATGGTCATCTCTATTGTAGTTCCTTTGGTATGAAGCCCACTTCCTACTGTACTTTACTGCATGTCTGATTTCACATACCAACATTTTCCTGAGCAAAAAGCCCAGAGTTAAGATTTGAATATCTTGCTCTACTGAGTTTTACATAATACTGTACCATTTTTTTAATGAGACTACACTATGGGAAATGTCAGTTTGTGTTTTTTGTTTTTTTTTGTGGGAAGTTTATTCCCCAGGTATACTATAGGCCTACTGTTTTCCCATTACTCTATTATGTTCAAGGGGGAGAGGGAGGGAAGGTCGGCAGGCTTATATCAGAGGAACTGTATTGTATTTCTTTATTATGATTTAATAATTCATTTTGTTCTCATTTCATTCATTTCACAGAAAGATACATTGTCTTCGTCAGGATCACAGGCATCTCTTAAGTCAACCATTGTAAGAAATATGATAGTTATTATGTAATTACTATATGTATTATTATTATTTTTTTTATTATTATTATTGTTATTATTATTATTAACTTTATTATTGTTATATTTATGTTGTTATTGTTATTATATTATATTTATTCATTTATATCATTTATAATAATATGATCATCATCATAAAGCTATATTTTATTATTATTGTTTTAATTACTGTTTACTTGTGAAATATAGTTATTATTGTTATTGAATATTATAAACCAAGTATTTTTTAGACGTAGAACTCATGATAATAATAAACTCCGTTTTGGAATTGCATAAGTTTCAAAAAATAAATTAATGTCATTTTATTTAGTATGATTTCTTTATAAGATCAGAAATTATGATAATTGATATAGTAATATGTCTAGTCTCATAGTCTGAATTATTATTAAATTGCAATTTAATTTTTAAATAATTTTAAGGTCTTTATCACGACAGTATAGACCAACTAATGGTGTTTGATTCAGTTACCGGGTGTCATAATGTAAAGCACATACAATATGCACTATGTAAAATGTCACATTATTATTTTTATGATTACACACTGTACTGAGCATTATATTAAATGTTTGTTCAGCCATGTGGACCATTGATAAATTCTGCTATTTTACAGTAATATGTTTCATTTTTAATTAATTTAAAAATAGAAAATTATATGACTGTTAGTTTGAATGATTATTTTTAATGTTTTATTTTGATTTGACTTTTTTAGTCTGGGCAAGAACGGTTATGGATTTTGTATTCAGCTCAAAATGATCTTGCCAACCTAAGTTTATTGCTGAGTGAAAACAAGGACTTGGCCTATTCAAAGGTATAGTTTGTTCACCTTTTGTTAAAATGTAACTTTTAAATATTGCCCTAAATTTAAATCTACATGCTTAATTAATAAACTATCTTTAAAATCACACTTGTCAAATTGGCTTAAATACGCACTTTATTATTCAGCTAAAAATCTGAACAATAAACTTAAATATTTTGGATGGCTTGCTTTGGAAAATTTATTTATTACCATTCAGGCTTCAGTCAAAAATAGAAATGAGAAAATATATTACTTGCCAATTTGCCTAACTGTAAATCAAAATAAGGATTGTTTGTGTAATGAAGTTTTTCATGTTTCATTCAAACACATTTCATATGTTGTAGGAAAAAAAATATATACTGTATATATAACTGGAAGTTCTGACCGCTGTACTGTACTTACTGTATACCATTAAATGAATTATGCAGTGAAGTAGGGCTTGGTTTTGAACTCTCTGTCTAGCTTAGTTTATAGAGAATTATAGTCCAATAGATGATTTTAGTCATGTATGACTTATTGTATATTGTTAGATGAAAATTTAATACAAATCTCACACTGAGATGGAAAGTTTACGAGATGTTATGTGGATGTTTTGTTTTTACATGGATGTTCATTCACATGCCCGTATCAACACTTTTTTTCGTCTTACATTTTGCTAGATTTTTGTATGTCTGAATCTTGAATACTGAATCAAGAAATCAGTTATTGTACAACATAAAAGAAGGAAATGCATTCAAAAACTGGCAAACATTTAAAATCAATGAGTATTGAAATATATTAAATTATTATAAACAATTTAAGAATATTAATGTGTGCAAGAGAAATCAAATTTATATACAAAATACATATAAAATTTGCAATATGGTATGAAGTAAGACATTATAGCTATAGTTATATTTGACTCAACTGGTAAGCATTTATAATCACAGCACTGAATATTAAAATATATTATTTTATAAACAATGAAAAATTGAAATACTGTATATTAATATGTACAAGAGAAATCAAATTTATACAAAATTCATATAAAAGAAACAATACATTAAAAAGTAAAACATTTTATAAATCATTACATTAATTTTTCATCTTTTACTCCACCTGCTACAAGAAAAACCTGGTGAAATTCATAATTTAAATTTATCTGTTAATTCTTTTAATATTAAACTTTTAAATTAATTCAATAACTATTTCTTTAAATTTGTTATAGTTGGTCGCTTTCTTGTAGATGTTGCTGTTGGGGAGTAACTGTTCTGTTTGTATCTGTACTGTATTGAGTTGATCAACTTGCATGTCTAGCACCTGTTTGGTCTTTCCTTGCCTTGTTTTTATTGTTTTGCAACAATTTTTATTGTTTTGTAATGATGTATTTGGCAGAAATTATACCCATTAAATATGATGTTTCCTTGAAACAACATGTAAAAATATCTTTATTAATAACAAAATTTTTGACCTTTCTTTAGTTAAATTAAAATAAATGGAAATCATTGGATATGATTTCCAGAAATTCATCTTAACTTTTAAATTTGTTATCAATTTAGGATGCAAAATTAGCATAGATTAGAAGATGACATGCATTTGGATGCTTTGAGAAGAATATTGTCAACTGTACTACAGATTTTTTTGTTACATACTGATCTTGTCTCAAACTTTGGCAGTTATAAGTAGGCCTACAAGCATTGAATTTGTTGAAGTGTTTGTTATGGATAACTTTGCCAAACATTACTTTTCAAATGAACTTGGGGTTTCATTCTATGACAAAGACCATCTACGCACTCAAAATATATCTCACTCAATCCCACATGCATTCCCTTTTGTGGCCGCCTTGTCACTTGGAATTTATTTAACAATATTTTCATGTCAGGGAGAGAGCCTCCCATTGATAGGGTCCTTTGACTCGAAATGCCTGGATGCTTTGTTTCGTTGATAAACTATTTTAAGTTGGATGTCTTTTATGAGTAAGACCTATGTAAATGCGTGTGATTTGTACAAGCCTCACAAATGCTTGCCTCATAAATCAAATGCATTCTAAGGATTTCCTCAAGAGAGATATGCCCAGACCAGGAAATTGAGCCTAGCTCAAACCATACATAAAAAGCATACCATAAAAAATCAATTTCTACCACTGGTTGACAACTGTTTTTATTTTGGCCTAAGTACTTCATTGCCAATTGGTTTCTTATTGTTATTCATTACAAATATACAAGTTAGATATAATTCAAACAGATACACATGTAAATTTACAAAAAGTGACAGCGGTTTAATTTACATTCTATAAGGAGCTAACCAGGTGGAATTTTAACCAGTCGTTATGAGATTTAAATTTAATGATATAATTTACAAAGGTTTTCATCCTTTTTATGCACAAATAATTTATGAATTGTTAGTATTTTTTAAGAAGTTGAATTTCAATTTGTTTTGGTCATATTTTTTTTGGTGTGATTAAAATAGATAGAAGCCAAAGCAAAAACTGTAATGAATTATTATATTACTCTGTGTTTTTCTTTAGGCTTACCAGTATTCATAATAATATAGCCTAATTTATTTTTATAAAAATTAAGATTTATTTTCACAAATTAATCTTATAATAATTATCACTGCATCAGTGCTTATAATTTGTAATCTATTTAATTGATGTTTTCCTTTTCATATTTCTGATGAATCCCAGGACTTTATAAATGTGAGTATTTCCTTCTGTTTATTTATTCATTTAGATTAATAAGTCCTTTTATCCCATCATATCTTCCTGTAATTAATTTCCTTTCCAATTTGCCTGTCTTTTACAAATAAATACCCTTCTTGGCATGATTAAATTTAGATATTATAAATTATGGCTCTCAAAAAGGATACGTCTGACACTGTCATTCCACACGTGACAAAAAAAAAATCAACTTTCATTTTGTTTGCAAGGAACTTAAAATTTTGCCAATAAAATCCACTTTTCCAAGTTCCTCAACACTTTCATTTGTTAGTATTCTGATAGTTACTACATATCCGGGAAAATGTTCTACAGGAAAAGTCTCTCCAGTTATCGTTTGCAAGTTCTGGATATAATTTTTAGAATAAAGTTCAGGACTGTTTTATGTCTTGTGATCTGTAAACTACTCTCGTCAAAAATTACCGAAACTTAAGTTTGTCACCACGAGCGACAAGGTTTGGTGTGGAGTATGACAGATTAAATGAGTCTGATGGAGATCCCTACGGCAATTTGTTACGGCACATCACACATTGTCAGTCGTGTGAAATCTTTAAATTTCCTTTGATCTTTCTTGACCATCCTTTTTAATCAAATCTAAAATGAGCCGATGCTGGTGTGTGCGTCCATGCATGCATTTTCTTGTAAGCAAACATTGAAGGTTCTTAATGATCAATTCATTTTTTTACCTTTTATATGGAAACAAATTTACTGTGGTTAAATTGATGTTAATAGCTCTGACAGTTAATACATTAAAAAAAAAAAAAAAAAAAAAACAATGTGCATGTCCAATCCTGTATTATGAAAGAAGAATATTTTTATTTTACATATTGGCTTGGAAATTTCCATCAGCATCATTTTCTGCATCAGTTTTCAAGTATATTTTTAAAAATATATTTTAAATAAATATGTATTTTAAATAATTTGTTGCCAACCTACACTATGGAAATTGTTTGCAGATTAAGTATGCTTTATAAATGGTATGTTCGGTCGGTCTGTTGCTTTTTCATGAGGTAAAATGATGAATTACTGTAAAACATTAAATTTTTATTATGGAATGTTGTAAGTTTTTATTAACTTGCAACTTACATTACCAAATGTTTAATCAAATAATTCATTTTCTCCTCTCATTTTATCTGTTTGCTCTCTGTGTGTGTCTACATGTGTCTGGATATTATATTCATCATCACCACCTACAGGGTGTAAGTATAGTTTTATGAATCAATATGTACTTGATTGTTTTTATCAGTTTATTAATTAATATATCAGTCAGGATAAATTGTCCATTGAATTAATGATAAATATATTTTTTTAATGGAAATGTATAATCAAAATAAAAGCAATTCATACTATAAACCGGCAGACCTAATACGTACCTGTATATATACTGTATTGAGTACGGTAAATATAATCCAAATTATATTAAGTGTAGGCCTATGCCTGTTGATTTGTATGTGATGTTGTTTTCTGTCTTTACTCATTTTTATCATTTTGATATTTTAGATGGCCCTAGTGGGAAAGGGCAGCCCTAAACCTACCATAAATGAAAAATAAAAAAAATATATATCAGTTTTGCAAAAAATGCAAGGAAATGCAAGAAATTGAAATGAACCTGAATAGACCAATGATGACAAAACTATGACTTTTTTCACCAAAATAAAAAAATATTAGTTTATTAATATAAATATCACTAATTAATATTAATCTTGTAATTGATAATAATGTTTCTTTTCAATATTAATACAATAAACAAATCATTCTATGTTTAATGTTTTACGTGTTCCATTATTTTCTTGATTTACACCATCAATTTAAATTAGATTTTTCCCTTATATATTTTTTTTTTCTTGTTCTCTTTCTCAAAAAATAAAGATATTGCTTTGTACTGTAATATTTATATCAGTGATTAATATTACTATTGTAATTAATAATATTAATATTTCTTTTCAATATTAATTAAAGTAAAATCAATGTGTGTTCAGTGTTTTACTTGTTCCTTTATTTTCTTGATTTAGATTTACACCATTCAATTTAAATTAGATATTTTCCCTTAGATATATATTTTTAATGATAATTGCTTTTGTTTTCTTTCTCAACAAAAATTAAGATATTACTTCATAATATTTATATCAGTACTATTATAATTAATAATATATTTCTTTTCAGTATTAATTACAGTAAACATCAATGTGTGTTTAATGTTTTACTTGCACTATCAATTTAAATTATACATTTTTCCTAAGACACATATTGTTAGTGATAAATATTTTTGTTCTTTTTTTATTTACCGATTCATCCATCTACCTTTTACGACCAAAGTGGGTAAGTTAGTCAATCTATTTTCTTGTTATCATGATTACATTTTTGGTGAAGTTTAATTTAATTGAATGATCTGTATTACAGTAAGAAAACGTTTTAACCAATTTTGTTCTGTCTTAATTACTGCTCGTTTTTATTGTAATATAAACTCTCTAATTTGAAACATTGGAATAACTTACATATTTTCTATATTGGAAGTAATTAATCACTCGTGTCTTGATCATACTACCTGAGGCAGGTTCTTTAAAACAAAATTAAGTTCCGAATGGACACCCTAAGGAGTTAATTATCATAACAATCGCTTAGAAGATTTAATAATGATGTTATGTTTTCATGTGCAAACTGTTGTTGTTGACGAAACTGGACATTGCAATTGTCCGGACCCTAGAGGCAGTCGTACCTGTTTTAATTAACCAGTGGCCGCAAGACCATTAATGTCGTGGTCAGTCAGTATCGATAGGTCAGGTGATTTTATCTAGACCAGGTGTCCTGTGTTGTTGCTATCTTGCTGCACTCTGCAGGTATAGTGGTAGATGCAGGTGAGACTGTTTAAGGTTGTCGGCTAGGCTTGGCTTGTGTACCTGGATTGGACACGTTCTTTTCCCGTTATCTTCTGCAGCTAATTAATACTGTCATTCCAACTCATCATTCCAGGTGTATTGCCCCAAGTAAGCATCAATGAAGGAATTTTTAAGATTCATTCATATAACCATTCATTCATTCTTCCAATTATTTATCTCTCTTTGTTTCCATTGATTCATTAATTCATTCATTCATCCATTTGTCCATTATTTCATTCATTCAATACTTTATTAATTTCACCAATTAATTTAGGCATTTGTCTATCATTTAATCATTTATTTTATTTTATCCATACATTTCAATTCATTTATTCACTCATTCATTCTGTGTTCATTATGGTTTTAAACTATTCATTTATTCCTTTTAATATTAGTTAATCAATTAAATACAGTATAAATGTCCAGTTATTTCCTCCTTAGTGCAAATACCCATCCACATACAGTATATACAGTAGCTGTCGATTTAATCTAGAATAAGATAAGTTATTACTAAAAGTTATAATGCACTGGTATATTCTAAGAAACTTAGATTTAGAGATTTTTCAGGTTTTTATACAGCATGAAGATGTGTTTCACTGCTTTTTCTTGTAACTGCATCCATTCTTCCACACATTATTTTGATGTAGTTTGTGATTGTTTAATGGCCAGTGGTGCTATGTTTTTCGTTCCCCAATTTCATTTGACCTATGTTGGTCGGACTGCATGCTGGTTCTTTGTAAATAAGAAAACAAAGAACAGAATAACCCAAAAGCAAAAACAATTATTATCTTATACTCGCTAAAGTCAGGCTTGCAATATACTGTGTTACATCAATAACTTGAGTCTTCAGAAACAGTGACATTTGCTTGCAGATATTTGGTGCCTAGTATCATTACTCATTCTTAGCAACTATGTTTCCTTACATAGTGGTTTAACTTTACCAATTGGTGTATGGATGCATGTTAGAAATAGTTTTCGGATATATCTGTGTTAAAGCCAGCCATCATATGGAACTAAAGGACCTAACAGCTATCGTCCTGATAGTGCTGGCCCGGTGGTTTTTACTTGGTGATAGTAATAATTGCTAGGGGCATTTGAAAGGGGAGGAGGGATATTGAAGATAACCAAACAGTAACAATGTGTAGATATTAAGTGCCTGTAGGTTTACTATGTAGTTCTAGTAAAAGAGCCTATGGATATCAACTTAGAAGAGAATGTTCTGCCAAGCGAAGCAGAAATAATAATATAGGACAGGCAACTAGCATCATTCTCTATTTTTATAGTAGTAGCAGTAGTAGTAGTAGTAAAAGTAGTAGTAGTAGTAGTAGTAAAACTTTATTCACGAAGCACAAATCAACAAATACAATGCTGTTTTTCATTATGGCTGTGAAATACCTTATTTCCAATAACATAAATTACACATTACGGTACTTCATAAGAAAGCAAATTTTAAACAGAAATTAAATAATATAGATACAAAACATAATTATTATACAATATGCAAAAAAACTCAACAATTTAGTAAAATAAAAATAATCTATACAAAAAATGGCAAAATAAATTATGGAAAAGAAAATCCACTCCACAAAAGTAAACTGTAAGTTACAAAAAAGAAATGTAAAATATGAATAAAACAAAGCAAGAAAACAGTAAATTAGTGATTTATACAATGTTCATACTAATATACTATTGGTTTCATTAATTACCATGAGGTGCCTAGGTAGTCATGGAACACGGCCATACAAAATTCAGCACAATGGCGCTGCATGTTATGGGTTAATCTCCTACCTTTACCTTTACCATTATTAATACAAACGTGGTTCTTTAAAATACTTAAATTTTTCGTATACATTTTTGTGTTGTTTCACTGTACTTTAATCGTTTCAGTTGATTATTGATGATAAAGAGTTGCAGCATGTTTATATATATCTATTATTTATGATGACTGTCCATTTTCCTCTCCTGCTCAAACCCTCTCTGCTTCCTCACAGAGTTCATTCAAAATATTCCACTCTCCTTCTTTGTGAGTTCATCTCTTGTGCATTCAATAAACTCTATCGTCATTAGGTTCTGCAGGCTGATTTTTTTTTTTCCTCCCACCCATTATTTCTTTCATTCTTTTTACCACTCTTGTTTTGCGTTTTCTCTGCTAAGATGCAA